TCAAAAGCCAATAGGAATTGTCCAGGCTGTCTCTGCCCTGCTGAGCCCGCTAAAAGTCCCATTCTGCAAACAGTGCTGCACCAGTTGAGTAGTCCTCGACTTACGACCGGTTGGGGGTCACGGCATTAAAAAGGTTGAGAACCACTGCTATAAGAGGACATTACCTTTGCTTTTAAATGCAAATCCAAAGTGTATCATATCACGGGGAAAACTATCTCTTGTAAATGAAATTATAAATTTAATTAATTATGTAGTTATCTAATAGGGTTGACGGAAGTGCATGTTTTTAAATTCCGCTGTTTTTAAATTAATGGTGTTTCTATTTTGTACATTAACAGTTGTTACTATAATAATCAAAGTTCAAGTTGCCAAGTGCAGCAAATCTTTCATGTTCATTGAGCGATATTAGATATCAAGCCTATATTATATAAGTATGGTTGTAGAAAAAAGTCTCAAACCAGTAACCAGAGAAGTGTATTTTTGCTATTGTTATAATAAAAATAGACTTAAAGTTAAAAGAAATTCATCCCCTGTTGCTTCTTATCAGGTCTGTTTGCCCAGACCAACCAGGATTAGTCTACAAAAGGTGTGGTTAACTATTATTTCCATTGTTTATTATGGAATTAAAATAATCACCATCCTCATTCCTGCAGCTAAGGTTTGTGGTAAATAGCACTCAAAATGGATTATTAGACCATGTTTATATGCTTAAGGCTAAAAAAGGAGCAAAAGGCTTGCTCTGAACTGCTTTTCTTTTTCTTGTAATAGAATGTTCAAAACATTTTAGAGTGGTGGTGTTGAAATAGGAATATTGTTTGAATATTTGTACAAAGGTTTTTTGTACAATTTGCCTTCCTATAAGTTGATCATTATTTGCCTTATATTCTGCATACATGTAGAATATGTTTGACATTCTTTTGTCAGATATTTGAGGTGTGTTATCATATCCACTGCATTCTCCTCAAGGCTAAATGTGCCAAATGCCTTCACTTTCTTGTCATAATACTTAGTTTTTAGTGCATTAAGTACCCTTGTTGCCCTTTCTTAAAACTTCTTCAAATTTTCTGAATTACTTGCCCCAAGATAAGAAGGCCATTTCTCATATTGTAATATGAAATGGTACTGTGAAAATAATTTACCAGAATATTAGATTATTCTGTTGTTATCTAAAAGATTGATTATTCATTGCATTTCTAAGTTATCTGCTGTATGGTATAAAAGTAGAAAAAGGTTGGATGTGAAGAAATAAATAAGAAAGCCAACCAATCCAATCTAACAAGCATTGTGCATATTTATTTATCTAGTACAGGGCTTTTCAACCGGTGGTACGCATATCACCAGTGGTACGTTGGCACCTGGCAGGTGATACATGTATGACAGGTTGAACGGCATTGTAAAAAAATGTGTAAAAAAAGTGTAAAAGTGGATGAGGTGAAGCGGCAGCAGCACCGCACAGGCTTGTGGGAAAGTCAGCTGGAACTGCACGAGGCGTTGCCTGGGTCCTACTGAGAGTCCAGGATCAAAGCGCGCAGCTCCAGCTGATTGCCGGCGGCCTTGGAGGTGGCAGGCAATCTCACACAGTCTTCGGGTGGAGATTAAGCTGGAGCTGCATGACGCATTGCCTGGGTCCTGCTGAGAGCCCAGGATTGCTGCGCGCAGCTCCAGCTGATTGGGGGTGACAGGCAGCCTCACACAGTCTTCAGGCAGAGATTCAGTTGGAGCTGCGTGAGGCATTGCGTGCCTGGGTCCTGGGAGAGCCCAGGATCAGCGTGCACAGTTCCAGCTAATTGGGAGTGGCAGGCAGCCTCACGCAGTCTTCAGGCAGAGATTGAAATGGAACTGCGTGAGTTGTTGCCTGGATCCTGCTGAGGGGGAGAGAAGAGAGGATATTAAAGGGGGTGAGAAAAGAAGAGAGAGGATATAAAGGGGGTGAGGACTATCTGTATTTTATCATTTTTTTCTGTTTTTTGGGTCATCAAGTTTTTGACATCTTGCTAGGTGACTGGTGGTACTTGAACATTGCGATATTCTAAAAGTAGTACAATCGGTGAAAAGGTTGAAAAGCCCTGATCTAGTAGATCCCAATGGATTCAGTTGGATGCATGGTGTTCATGTAGCAGTTAAACCTATTAGTAGTTCTTTCAATAAGTCATATCTTAAATCTAGAATTGGTTCAAGGAAGGCCTGCAGATGCTACATTCAAGCTTTCTGCACAGCCCTAATATGATTATGACATCTGTTTCCCTCTGACACTAATGAGGTACTGGTAGTCTTTGACTTACGACAGTTCATTTAATTCAAAGTTATAACGGCACTGAAAAAAGTGACTTATGACCCTTTTTCACAGTTACAAACTTTCCAGCATCGCTGTGATCATGTGATCAGAATTCAGATGCTTGGCAACTGGTTCATTTTTATGACTTTTGCTGTGTCCCAAGATCATGTGATCATCTTTTTGAGACCTTCTGACAAGCAAAGTCAATGGGAAAGCCAGATTCACTTAACCAGGTTATTAACTTATCAACTGTAGTGATTCACGTAACAAATGAGGCAAGGAAGGTTATGCAATAGGGCAAAATTCATTTAGCAAATAAACAGAAATTTTGGGCTCAGTTGTGGTCATACGTTGAGGACTATCTGTATTTGAATTAATTATATGAAGTGGACAGTCTTTCAATTCAGATTTTCATCTAATCAGCTTAATTTTAAAATTCTTATCTCAGAATTGTGTTTTTCTTTTCTTTTCTAGTGGGTCTGTGCAAGTGTATACAATAGATCATTCCACAGGGGCCATGCAATTGTCTCACAAACTGGAACTAACACCCAAGCAATATCCCGGTAAGCCCAGTTATATTAAAGCTCAGATTGAATTGTTTATCATCTTTTTGGTAATATCCCCCCTTGATTCATTTATAACAAGTAAACAGTTTAGCATACAGTGTCCATAAAAAAGGCTAAGCTACATATCCAATCATCTAGGTCACAGGTCGGCAACCTGCGGCTCCGGAGCCGCATGCGGCTCTTTGAGCCTTCCCCTGTGGCTCCCAGCCTCCTCTGCCTTTGCAGAGAGGACAGAGACAGAGAAGGCAATTGCGCTTCCCTGCCTTCGTTCTCTCTCTCTTCTCTCTCTCTCTCTCTCTCTCTCTCTCTCTTCCTCTCTCTGTGTGTGTGTGTGTGTGTGTGTGTGTGTGTGTGTGTGTGTGTAAAAGGGAGTGCACTCACAGTGTTCTCCGAGGAGCTAAAAAGCTTACTGGGCGGAGCTCCTCCCTTTGCTGCGTCTCTGCAGGAAGCAGGAAGGGCAGGAGAGAGCTAGCTAGCCCAGCTAGGCTGACTCAGGAATTCTGGGAGTTGAAGTCCATGAGTCATAAAAGAGACAAGGTTGCCTACCCCTGATCTTGTTGGACAACAGCTTGAATCTTGCCAGGTGAGCAGCAGATAGGAGAGGGGGGGGAGAAAGAGAGAGAGAGGGAGGGGGAGAGAGAGAGAGAGAGAGAGAAAGAAAGAAAGAGAGTGGGGGAAGAGGAGTGGCAGACCAAGGGCAGATAGAGAGGGAGGGAGGGAGAGAGACAGAGAGAGAGAGACCCTTTTGACATCTAAAATGAAGATAACACTGCATATATCCTTTTTTTACCTGTGTGTGTACGTAATTTTATTCTCTTAAAGCATTCTCTTGGTGATCATTGTTTTAATAGTATGGATATTCCCAAGAGTCATATTTGTACTTTTATTTTTAATGTGTGTGTGTGTGTGTGTGTGTGTATGTATGTATGTGTATGTATGTGTATATATATATATATATATATACTAATATATATATATCTATATATTATATATATATCTATGTTTTCTGAGGGTATTCGAGGGTGTTTGTATGTAGGTCTTTGGTTGTTCGGGTTTTCTCCCGCGTAAAATTGGAAGTGTCTTGGCGACGTTTCGCCGAAGTCCCATTCGTCATCTTCAGGCTGGTGTTTTCAGCTTCGTGCTTTGAGCAGCAATGTGTGGTCTTAGCTGTTTCTTCCTTTTAACTGCCAGTGTGGGTATGAACTGATTGGGTGGGAGCTTGGCTGTGTTCTGATTGGGTGGAGGTGTGTTCTGAATGGTTAGGGGCTTGGCTGTGCTCTGATGGCTGGGGGGTTGCTGTGCTCTGATGGCTGGGGGGTTGGCTGTGCTCTGATGGGCTGGGCGAGTGTTCTGTTTGGTTGTGCTCAGGTTAGTCTGAGTTGCAGAGGGATTCAAGATTTTGGGCTGCCCTGCCATTCCTTGGCTTCGCGTTCGTGGTCGTGCTTCCTCTTCCTGGAGGGTGTCAGTTTGCTTCAGGTATGGATTGGGGGGGTTTAAAGTGGCTAATGATGCAGCTCCTTTGTGGGGTCGGTCTGGCTTCTGGTTTGGTAGGTCGTGCCTCATAGTCAGTGTGGATTGGGTTTGTTTTTGCGTGGGATGCTTGGTGGTGACCGTCCCTGGGGGGTTTGGTGCAACGTGGGGTCCTGGGTATATCTTTTGTGTAGGGAGTCGTTCTTGTCAATGAGGGCGGTTTCCAAAGACATGGCTGCGTAGGCGCGGGACGAGCGGGTAATCATTCGCTTCGCTTGTTCATGCTGTGTGGGCGTTTTTCTATCTCGATGGCTTCTCTGATTATTCTGTTATTAAAATGTTCACTTTTTGCAATGGTTCTGGTATTTTTAAAGTCAATTTAATGTCCTGTGGCTTTAAGGTGTTGGACCAGGGAAGATGTTGGTTCCTCTTTTTTGACTGAGTTCTATGTTCTTCAATGCGTGCACTTATTCTTCTGTTGGTTTGTCCGATGTATGTGGTGGGACAAGTGGTGCATGGGATTTTATGTGGCATAGGGAGGAGGCACTTTCGCGCGCTTATTCTTGTTCTTTGTCTTGCTATTTCTAGTGTACGGGGTTTCTATTTGGATATAGGTTGTGTATCATAATTCGATTTCTATGGAATCCATTGGATGTTAGTACATGGGTGAGAGTGTGTAGTTCGGGTTTTAGGTGGTGTTCGTCAGCTAAGCGTTTTGTTCTGGAGATGAGTGTCTTGGCTACAGAGTTGATCTGTGCTGGGTGGTGGTGTGAGAGAGCGTGCAGATAGCGGTTTGTGTGTGGTTTCTTCTGGTAGATGGTGTGTCCTAGGGAGCCATTGGATTTCTTGTAGACTAAGACATCCAGGAAGGGAAGTTGGTTGTTAGCTTCTGTTTCCATGGTGAACTGTATTTTGGGGTGTAGGCTGTTGAGGTGTGTGAGGAAGTTGTCCAGTTTTTCTTTCCATGTGGCCAGATTATGAAGGTGTCATCTACGTATCTTGAGCCAGAGTTTGGGTTTGTGATCCGATTTTTCTAGAGCTTGGGTTTCAAAGTGTTCCATGTAGAGGTTGGCAATGACAGGTGAGAGGGGTGATCCCATGGGTGCTCCTTCTGTTTGTTTGTATTTTTTGTCCATTATAGATGAAGTATGTGTTGGATAGGCAGTGGTTGGTCAGATCTAAGATGTGTTTGGGGGGGTTATATTTGTTTTGGATAGCTGTCCAGGCTTCTTTGATAGGCACTTGTGTGAAGAGGGATATGACATCGAAGCTCACTAGTAGGTCGCTGGGCTGTAAGTTTTGTTTCTTTATGATCTCTAAAATGAAATGAGTTGTTATACGTTCCTGGAGAGCATGAGCTTGTGGCAAGGTAATCTGGGGAGTGCTGCATAGGGCTGTAGTTGTTGGCGAGAAATTTGGACTATGTTTTGTAGAGGTGAGCCTTATGGAGCTGACTATGGTTGAGTGGGGTTCCTTCCTTGTGTATCTTGGAGTCGAGACCATAGAGTTTGGGGCATCTGGATGATTTCTACTCTGGGAATGATTCTTGCTGTGATCTCTTCGCCTAATGGGGGAGGGCTTTTATTTTGGATCTGGTGGTTTTTTCCAGGTAGGTGGTGGGATCTGTGTTTAGGGGTTTGTATGTAGAGTCTTGGAGTAGGTTGGTTAATTTGGTTTGGTAGTCAGATATGTTCATAACCACCGTGGCATTGCCCTTGTCTGCTGGTAAGGATTATTATGCTGGTGTCTTCTTTCAGGTTACGTAGTGCTGTCTGTTCCTCTTTGGGTAAGTTGCTTTTGGGTGGCTTGCTGGTGCAGAGGATGTTGGTGATTTCGAGTCTGATTCTGTTAGCGTCGTCGGGGTTGATTTTGGTCAGGCTGGTTTCAACTCCACATATAATGGTTTCAGTGGGGAGGTGTTTGGGAGCGACTGCAAAGTTGAATCCTTTGGAAAGGACATTGGTTTCGGCTTTGGTGAGGATCATATCTGAGATGTTATGCACTGTTTGTTTCATGTGTGGCTGTGAGGGAGGAGGGGTTTGTTTCTGGCGTTCTTGTAGTCTTCGGAGTTTGTTGGTGTGTGTATCTGTCTTGAGGGTGGTCTGTGTTTAGGCTCTCCAGACGGCGAGTTGTTTGGATTTGTCCCAAAGTGCGGGGTGGATCTTGTTGCTGAGTTTGAGGTGGAGTGTGAGGAGATCTTTGTTAATTTGGTCTAGGAGGAATCTTTTTGTGTGAAGTTCATTTCGAGTAGGGCCAATTCTGTTCTTTTCAGGAAATCGTTGGGGCTGCAGAGTTGGAGTGGAATTTCAGTTGGAAACATGTGGGGATTAGATTTTGATCTCGGCAGGTTAGTAGGAATGCGAGGTCGCATAAAATGGAAGCTCTTTGGACTTCAAGTTTTTCATAGGTCCTGGTCAGATGGTGGATTTCCTCCCCGTAGAGGTTCAATATTTGTTTTCTGAGGTTTTCGCGGGTATCTGTATGTAGGTCTTTGGTTGTTCGGGTTTTCTCCCACGTAAAATTGGAAGTGTCTTGGCGACGTTTCGACGAAGTCCCATTCGTCATCTTCAGGCTGGTGTTTTCAGCTTCGTGCTTCGAGCAGCAATGTGGGGTCTTAGCTGTTTCTTCCTTTTAACTGCCAGTGGGGGTATGAACTGATTGGGTGGGAGCTTGGCTGTGTTCTGAGTGGGTGGAGGGTGTGTTCCTGATGCTGTGACTCTAGGGGCGTGGCTGTGCTCTGATTGGCTGGGGGGTTGGCTGTGCTCCTGATGGCGGGGGGTGGCTGTGCTCGATGGCGGGGGAGTGTTCTGTCGTTGGTTGTGCTCAGCTTAGTCTGAGTTGCAGAGGATTCAGATTTTGGGCTGCCCTGCCATTCCTTGGCTTCGCCGTTCCGTGGTCGTGATATCCTCCTTCATCGAGGGTGCCGTATTGCGGCATGTAGTGGATTTGCGGGGGTTTAAGTGGCTGTAATGATGCAGCTGTGGTCTGGCGTCTGGTTTGTGGTTGTGCCTCGTCATCGGTGTGGCTTTGGGTTTGTTTTTTGCGTGGATGTGTGGTGGTGACTTCCTGTGTGGTTTTTGTGAGTGTGGGTCTGGTATCCTTTTTTGTGTTAGGGAGTCGTTTGTCAATAAGGGCGGGTTTCCAAATGGCTGGTAGGCGGGAGGTATCATCTCGCTTGTTCATGCTGTGTTGGCGTTTTTCTATCTCGATGGATTCTCTGATTATTCTGTTATTAAAATGTTCACTTTTGGCAATGGTTCTGGTATTTTTAAAGTCAATTTCATGTCCTGTGGCTTTAAGGGTTGGACCAGGGAAGATGTTGGTTCCTCTTTTTTGACTGAGTTCTTATGTTCTTCAATGCGTGCACTTATTCTTCTGTTGGTTTGTCCGATGTATGTGGTGGGACAAGTGGTGCATGGGATTTCGTATACTCCTTGATTTTCTAATTCAATTTATCTTTGGGGTTTCTAAGGATGGTGGATATTTTTCTGTTTGTGCAGAATGCTGTTTGAGTTGTGTTTAGGAAGGATCGTCTAATGATTCTGTACTGGTGATGCTTTCATGTTCATGGGAGATGGCTTTGCCGTTTTCTGTTCTTTGTCTGGATTTTAGTGGGGGTTTCTTTTGGAGGTTTGTTAATCTGTAGTTTATGGATCCATTGGATGTTGTAGTACATTGGTGGATGTGTGCTAGTTCTGGGTTTTAGTGTGTCGTCAGCGGAAGCGTTTTGTTCTGGAGATGAGGGTCTTGGCTACAGAGTTGATCTGTGCTGGGTGGTGGTGTGAGAGAGCGTGCAGATAGCGGTTTCTGTGTGTTTTCTTCTGGTAGATGGTCTGTCCTAGGGAGCCATTGGATTTCTTGTAGACTAAGACATCCAGGAAGGGAAGTTGGTTGTTAGTTTCTGTTTCCATTGTGAACTGTATTTTGGGGTGTAGGCTGTTGAGGTGTGTGAGGAAGTTGTCCAGTTTTTCTTTCCCATGTGGCCAGATTATGAAGGTGTCGTCTACGTATCTGAGCCAGAGTTTGGGTTTGTGATCCGATTTTTCTAGAGCTTGGGGTTTCAAAAGGTATTCCTGTAGGAGGTTGGCAATGACAGGTGGAGAGGTTGATCCCATGGGTGACCTTCTGTGTTTTATTTTGTTCCATTTTTGTCCAAAACGCTTAGCTGGGAACGAACAAACACCTAAAGGCCCGAACTACACCACCTCACCAATGTACTAACATCCAATGGATTCCATAGAAATAAGATTACAAACCTAATCCAAAAAGAAAACCCCCACCAAAATCCAAGACAAAGAACAAGAAAACGGCAAAGCCCTCCTCCCATACATAAAAGGCACCACAGACAGAATCAGTAAGATCCTTCATAAACACAACATCAAAACAGCATTCTGCACAAACAGAAAAATATCCACAATCCTTAGAAAACCCAAAGATAAAATTGAATTAGAAAATCAAGGAGTATACGAAATCCCATGCACCACTTGTCCCACCACATACATCGGACAAACCAAAAGAAGAATAAGTGCACGCATTGAAGAACATAAGAACTCAATCAAAAAAGAGGAACCAACATCTTCCCTGGTCCAACACCTTAAAGCTACAGGACATGAAATTGACTTTAAAAATACAAGAACCATTGCCAAAAGTGAACATTTTAATAACAGAATAATCAGAGAAGCCATCGAGATAGAAAAACGCCCACACAGCATGAACAAGCGAGATGATACCTCCCGCCTACCAGCCAATTGGAAACCCGCCCTTATTGACAAACGACTCCCTAACACAAAAAATGATACCAGACCCACACTCACAAAAACCACACAGGATGTCACCACCACACATCCACGCAAAAAACAAACCCACAGCCACACTGACTATGAGGCACGACCACAAACCAGAAGCCAGACCACAGCTGCATCATTAGCCACTTTAAACCCCCCCAATCCATCCATGAAGCAAACTGACACCCTCCATGAAGAGGAAGCCCGACCACGAACGCGAAGCCAAGGAATGGCAGGGCAGCCCAAAATCTTGAATCCCTCTGCAACTCAGACTAACCTGAGCACAACCAAACAGAACACTCCCCCAGCCAATCAGAGCACAGCCAACCCCCCAGCCAATCAGAGCACAGCCCAGCGCCGCAGCCAATCAGAGCCACAGCCAAGACCCCTCACTAAACCAAATCAGAACACACACCTCCACCCAATCCGGCACACAGCCAAGCTCCCAGCCCAAGTCAGTTCGAATACCTCCAATGGCAGTTAAAAGAAGAAACAGACAAAAGACAACCACACTGTGCTCGAGGGCACGAGAGCTGAAAAGCACCAGCCTGAGTAGAGATGACGAATGACAACTTCGTCGAAACGTCGCCAAGGACACTTCCAATTTTATCGTGGAGAGAAAACCGAACAACCAAAGACAGCTATTTTATATATATATATATAATATATATATAATATATAATATATATATATATATATAACATATATATATATATATATAAATACACACACACCAAAAAAACTTAAATAAAAGGTAAAAAAAGGATATATGCAGTGTTATCTTCATTTTAGATATCAAAAGGGTTTTGCGGCTCCCGGTGTTTTGTTTTTGGTGGGAAACGGGTCCAAGTGGCTCTTTGAGTGTTTTGGGTTGCCTACCCCTGATCTAGGTCAATGCATATTCAATTATGTATATCCTGTACAGTTCTGTAGCGGACAATATATTTCTGACAAAATTTAAAATATCATTGTTATCACCCATCATAAAGTACAGTCAGACTGTTGTGCTCATGGCCATACCATCTGCGTAAAGACAGCTATTTCTTTCTTTTAAGGAGGAGTCATCAGCTGTTTGTTAACAATAATAGAACTAGCAGGTGTGAGCTGAAAAAAATCTAAAAAATTTCTAGGGGTTAGGAAAGAGCTGTGTTTGCCATAGTTCTTCTTCTTCTTCTTCTTTTTAAACCTAATGGCCATAATGATTTTGCAACCCAGATTGTTCTACTAGTTACCCAATGTCAATGCATTGTTTGCTTAGTCATGCAAAGAAAAATCGAATGGTTGGTTACCAGGAAAAAAGGTTCCCTTTGCACCAACATTTATACATCTAACACATAGTTTAGAAAGTTATAAATCTTACTTTTCTGTTAATCCTGATGACTTCTCACTCTGTTTTTGTGCACTTCTATGTATCTCATGAGGAGGATGAAACTGTGCAGAGTTTAATGAAATTAAATTGCATCCTGTTAGGATTAATATTTTGGGGGATATCACCGCTCCCACAGAGCCAATATACTACAGTCTTCTCTTCACTTGTAACTAAGTTTCTCTTTCTGATCCTGAAAGAATAACGAGTGTGAGATTGAATTGAATCCCCTGTGTGCCATTTTGAATTTCCAGAAGAAAAGTGAGAGTTAAATATATTAAATAAATACTATTCAACTACTGCCCATCTTTAAAATAGTTAAAAATGTTAAAAATGGGTTTTTTAAAATCTGCCGACAATTTTTGTATTTCAATAGATATTTGGAACAAAACAGGAGCTGTTAAACTCATCAGATGGTCTCCTGATAATTGTGTTGTTATGGTGACCTGGGAATGTGGAGGCCTGTCTTTATGGAGTGTATTTGGAGCCCATCTTATTTGTACTCTAGGAGGTGACTTTATGTAAGTAACTTGTGCTTCATATTAGGAAATTTAACCAAAATATGTACCTGCTCTTTAACTTTTTATTTGCTACACAAAGCTTTTAAAACTATTTTTCTTTGCTTAGCTGTTTAATATCTTATATTGTATATATTATTGACTGAGTTAGTAAAGCAAAAGGCTCATTTTTTTCTGCACAATATTTTAATAAATGAAATGTTTAACTTGTCTGCAACTACAAAACCAATTCTCCCTTCAGTCTTTGTTGTACAAAATATAGATCTGTGTTTTTATGTGTGATGTATACCATCAAATTCAGAGCTATTTTTAATAGCCACAGAAGAGCTTCCTCGTGGTTAGTAGACTTGTTGAAGTTGAGAAAACTTATCTGATATGATACTTTTAAATTAATAGAAAAGTACAAATGATACTAAAAATCCCTAGAATAGCGTTACTGAAATATTTGTGATATAATGCCTATTTTTCTTGGCTATTTTGGTTTAATACATCAAGAATGAAAAGGAGGGACTTGGAAACAGAATTAAAAATGCCTCCTAATTAGTATGTATGTAGTGAATTGAAAGACACATTCTCTTTAATATCCAATATTTAAATGTAATATTTTGTTTATGCTATTCATTTTAGTCATCGAACTGATGGTACTAAAAAGGACCCTTTAAAGATCAGCTCTATGGTGAGCATCATTTATTATTGTCTTACTAGTCTCTTTTTCTCCCTCATCTAGGCACACGCAATTAAATTTATTCTAATACTTTCCCAAATAAATTAACCTGGACTTATCCACGCTGCTTAAATTGAACCTCTTTCTGCATTTATGTTACAATCCAGATATTTTTAAGTTACTTTCTTAATTTAATTTACTTAATTTACACAAAGACAAATATTCAGGTTCATAAGACTTAGCAAATTATATTCTCTGTCTAGGACAGATCTTAGAAAAATCACAGCATGTCGTTCCTTCTGCCAGAATAATAAGACCATTCAGTTCATAGGAACTAGAATATGTCTTGGATAACTGTACTCAGCAAATACTGCCGATATTTCACAGAACATGCCTGACCTTTGGATACGGATTTTGTCTGCAGTTTTTCCTAGCACATGGCTCTGAGAGGTATATAGAATGGTGAAAATATCTGAAAATGGTGGGAAAGGGAGATATAAAGGAGGAGAAATGTGCTTTTCATTACACTTATTGGTGTCAACTTGATATTAAGCATTCTTTGAGTAGAAAAATTCTAAACAGTATTTCTTTATTCCAGTATTTTAGTTGTTTTAAATAGCAATAGACTTTTATACTGCATCATAGTGCTTTACAGCCCTCTCTAAGCAGTTTACAGAGTCAGCATATTGTCCCCAACAATCTGAGTCCTCATTTTACTAATCTTGGAAGGATGGAAGGCTGAGTCAATGTTGAGCCAATCAGGATTGAACTGCTGGCAGTTAGGAGAGTGAGTCTACAATACTGCATTCTAATCACTGGGCCACCACGGCTCAGAATGATGATAAATGATACACTCTATTTTTTTTTTCTTAGAGCTGGGGATCAGAAGGCTATCATTTATGGGTAATCGATGCAAATAATTTTGGGAATTCAGTGACTGAGAGCAAAAACAAAGGACAGCATTTTGGTATTTTGCAATTTCAGTTCATCAAAAGTGCACTCGCAGTTAATCCTTGCATAGTAAGTATTCATGTTTGATGATTTGTAGTCCTAGGTCAATTTTATTACCTTTTTGGTCAAAACGTTGCCTAATTTGGATTATCTTAAAATTGTTTTTTTTTAATGTAAATGAAATTGTATATAATAATATGGCGGTGCAAACATTTGAAACATGAAAGTGCTACCACTCTTAAA